TCTAATTGGATTATCATATTATACCGATCAACAAAGTTCAAGATCAGGTGATGAACCGTTGACGCCCGTAATCTGCAAATCCTTGTGTTGTATTTACTATATACGGATAGGTTTGTTGAATTTTGAGATGTGCCATGACGAATGTGTAGTTCGCTTCTCAAGTGCCGGACAAGACAAGATATTCATGACACACCGTCTCGAATTGAGGACATATCCAGACGGTAGGTGTATTATGAAAAATACGCACTGCATTATATGTACCTACAGTAATTGTGACCGGGCGCAAAAGTGAGCTTTGGTTAGTTGACAACCGTTGGATTGGCTTGAATTGACCCATTGTGGAAGCGAAGCGAACCCAAGCGAGAAAGCCGGAGCGGAGAAAAGAAAAGTTGACGGAATTAATTGTCACAAGGCGTTTCAAACGAGTGTACGTACATGGTCTCGCTCTACCTATACATAGGAATTATGCTGTATCCATATGTAAGTATTGCTCCGAAGGGAAAAAGAAAAGAAAACAAATAAAACCCATCTCGTTCGGACCTCAACCGAGATAGGGTTGAACTGCCGTGACAACTGTAAGCCATCGACCGGACAAAAAGACTATTCTAGGGAACAATCAACTGTCGATCATATTCGACAGAATATACATGGGTCAACAGATGTACATAGAGCCTGTCTTGTCTTGTTACGGATACAGACGGCGGACGGAACTGTTAATGCGCGACTGCAGTAGCGTACCGTTATGCAAGATGATCCCTTGGCTGTTGCGTTGTCCTCTAACTGCTGGACACGCGGCGACTGCTACTACGCAGCCTCTGTTTGAACGTTGAAGAAGTTGGTACCTCTGACAGGTACATACTTTTGAGACGAGACGCATATAGTGGCAACGTAGGTATGTATCCGTGTCGACGATCATCAAAGCACTTTCACAGTGAGTGACTAGGGACAAACGGAGCTACGGGGGAACTCTTTTTCAGTGATGACAATGCATATCTATTTTCTCAAGAGACGAGATGCCAAAACAGGCCAAAGATGCGGGTTTCGGCCTACACGTTGAATGCTACATTGCACGGAACGTAGCAATTGCTCACCTTGGTTTCCCTTTTGCTTCCCAGTAATAGTATAACAAAGAAAAAGCTCGCGAGTAACAAGGCTGCACCCAAATGCTGTGTCAATACCTAATGTAGGAATTGCAGCGAACCGGTATTAGCCATGAGATTCAATTTATGCTTCGGGCGTACAAACGACGGGAACTCTGCAGTGCAAGGTTACAGGTTTGTCTGTTGATAGTTGTCTTTTTAAGAACCTTCCTACCTGGGTAGGTCGTTTCAACGCTCTCAAGATGGTTGCATGGGGAGGGAAGGGTTTTGACAAGGGCAATTGATCAATACAACCAGACAGAGACGTTTACCCCGTGGGTTTTTAATTACAGCATGGGATTGCTATCAATTAGTCTAGGAATACCTGCTATATTCGAAACTTGCGGGGGCGATCAAGATTGCTTCTTTACGTCTTCTAGAGGAATGGAAGATTGAGCCCCTGTCGTCATCAGCCAGTAGAGCCTCACTAATAATAACCATGACTAGGTATGCATACACAGAGTTGAAGCGATACAAGAGAGGAAAGGCATTGACAAGGAATTTTCGCATTCAAATTTAAACGTACGAGGCTGTTTCTAACCCATATTGACTGGTATGTGAATAATTCTACCCGGCCTAGTCTGTTTCTTAAACCCAACCTTGGTCGATCATTAGACTACGTCTCGCCTTGTGAAGCACTTCGTTCCTTCTGACGTCCTACAAGCGCAAGAATCTCCCGATTTAGACTTCGAGGGCCATGCTGAACAAGAAGAGGGAGGGAGGGAAAAAAGAATCCTACTTCCGTCTTGTGCTTTCATTCTCTTTTCCCCGTTCCGTTCACAACCCAGCAGTTTGGCACAAAGGAATGTCTTGCGGATATCGTGACAGGTAATCAATGCCATGAGGCGTTGAGTAAGTTAGTTGACGGGCTGAAGTTGGACAAGGCGATATGCGATCGACTGAGGGAGGGACTTGTCCTACGTGTCTAGATACTAAGGCATGAGAGCAGTCAGATGAGATGGGATGTACCTGGTATTTCCATGTTACCTTGACGGAGAAGAGAAACTGTTGTTGGTTTGTGGTCATATCCATGATGAATCAGAGATGATAGACCCTTGTCTTTCTGCATGTGAGAAAACAAAATGGGCCGTCCGTGTTATTCAGTTGAGAGTCTTTTCAATAGATCCACCTGGTCCCCGCTATAGTCTAGACATGTCATGTTCGTGTTTACGAGTACGCACAGTAACAAGATATGTAGAGGCAGAGGCAGAGGCAGAGGCAAGTCAGATTTGATGTCAGTTGATATGCACTGGGAAAAGAACAGAAATGCTCGGAACAGGTTAATCATGATTGGGCTGTTAGTTGATGAGGATCGGTGGTCAATTTGATGCCGCATTTGAGTTCTGCACACGCACTCTCAAAGTATCCATGTCATGACCGTTTTATGTCATTGGCAACTTCAATTCCAAAACGATCCAAGTCAGAGGCAGACTTTTCCTAATTGATCAACTTAAAGCTTCTCTTCTGTCCCGCGCAGCCCACACCTGTTATCGTCTGCCACACCCACTCCGCAGTCGTTGTGGCATCCAATGATGTATCTAATCGCATTTTATTTATCGTACATCGCCAGGGTCCATGTGTGTGTGTCCTTTTGTGATGTGGTGTGATAGAATGTTTTGTTTTAGTCTTTGACTATGGCCTCTTTTTAGAGTTTAAACTTGAGGTCAAAGCATTTCACTGTCATCTTGAGTGTATCACTTCGATACAGTCAAAGCCCAGCATCAACGGCTAGATAGGTAATGATACCTTGTGATTACTTGCATGTTCCTCAACCAAGGCAATGTAAAGACTTAAACTGTAGTGCCTTTACTGTGCCGCCGCGGGTGTAATTCCTACCGCCCAGCCGCCTCTAATAACCCCTGTGATGCATGTTTCTCAATCCCATCTTTTTTTTAGTAGTCCCTCGTTGGTTTAATCTATGGGATTTGGTTTGGCAATTACTATGAATTACGAATACAATACCAAGGTACACTGAGCACCTACAGCACATGCAGTTGTTGTATGGATGCAATATGCAGTGTGCCGACCAGCTCCTCTGGCGTGCTACGTACTGCACTATACTAACTGTAACCTACACGCCCCCGGGCTGATTAACCAACACCTTGACCTTGACCTTGAAATATCCATGTCTTATGCATTGCATTTTGTTACTGTAATAAAATCTCTCGCCATCCCGCCTTTTCGTTCGCATAGCATGCCCATCCCATACAGTTTGGTACTGATCAAGCAAGGTATTGTTGACTGAGTGACTGACTGATTCTTTCTTCGTTTATTAGGTTACCTTCGACACAGTGGAGGCTCATTAGGTTGTCCATCTTATCTAGCCATCTTCCGATCCTCCTCTTCTCTCTTTCCTTCTTATTTCTATTACTTTACTCTTTCTCCATCCCACTTCTCCGCAGTTCTCTCTTTCTTCTCCCAAACTGTAGCCAGTCTCTTAGTTGACACTCGGCGTCTTAAACTCGCCCTACTCCATCTATCCATCCTTCGCCTTTGCCGCTTCGGGGTCTAAGTCGTTCAACTCCCGCGCCCTAAGAGCTCTAAGGGAAGAAATTCGTTGCCTTAGTACTTTGCCCAACCAGTATAGAGTCCACCCCGTCTTTAGCGGACTGTGGCTTGCGCTCGCCCCATCGCCTACTGTACCTCCCGAGTCCCAAGTCGAGAAATCAAAGAGAAAGAGGCTACTCTGTGCTCTCCTCAGTCAATCCCTGCTCTCCGAGACCAGCTTAAGAAGAATCGCGGGAATATTCATTCACTACGTACTACGATCGGACAAGACCCTAGACAGGGCTTTCGGACCGGGTTGGGAGTCGAATCCTCGTAAAAGCACCTACATACATAAACGACTTTTGCAACGCATGCTTCAATTCCGTCTTCCGCGCGACCTCTCTAGCCTCTAGCTTACCTAGCTTCCACTCCTCCCCGCCGCACTACCCGGTCGCTCCATTATTCCCAGGAAGACCCTAGTCTCCGTCCGACCTCTCTGAGTCCATCCCCTGTTGACAACACGGACTTGCAACTGCAACTTTTTTTTTCGTCTGGGTGGTTTGGAGTGGACTTATCAGAGCCCAGGCAAGACTTTTGAAAACATTCATCTGTCTGCTGTTGCTGCATCTTCATCCTCCTCCAGTTTCTATCGCTGTTGGTCCTGGACTTTTCATCCTCTACCTACCCTCGGCCAACCTTTATCACACGCCGGGTGCCATTCTTAGTGGACCCATCTAACCCATCAAGAAACCAGACCAACTCGAATCATCCATCAATTCGTCTGAACCAACCGACGTTGGTTCCTAATCCTATTAAACTACCTGCATACAGCGTACATCCTTCACTTCACGTCTTCGACCTTTGGTTTGTCTCGCTCCTGGCGCATATTTTGCATATCTACATCAACGCACGTACATTCTACCTGCGCAAAGAGAGCCTTACATCATAACGACGCCTACGACGATTACGACCATCACGATCATAGAACAAGACTGCTGCCAGTCTTGACTACTACTGCATTATCACAGCCTGTGTCTTTGTTGAAAGCTTATGGTGTTTGATTTACCTCATCAGTAATTGTCTGCCATCCACGAATTGGGTCTCGACCTAGCTAGAACACGAAACGTTGCCGATCATCCTGCGATCATTTGCCACAAGACCCCGACACTTTCTCATTCCCTAAACCGACCCCATCCTACCGTCATACCTTTCTACAAGCACACAGCTTCTCAGCTTCAGCTCCAACCCCAACTCCAATTCCACTTCAATCCGTCACCGAATTTCTGTCCGGCATTTGGGGAGTCGGGTGAACACCACCTGGCCCCTTACACCTTAGCCAACACGGCTCCACCGACCGAATCAGAATCTTGCGACATGGCTATGGACGCTCTCAAAAATCTTGTGAACAACGTCCCGGATTGGCTGAAGCGCCTTGACGATCTCAGCGGCCAGATCGACCGACGACAGGCCGAGCTGGCCGCTGTCGCTGCAGCAGAAGGAAAGAGCCCAAAGGCGAAGTCCCTTCGCAACAAGGGCTCGACTGAATCACTAAAGCCCAAAGATGACCCTCCGGTAGTCCACGCTGAGGCTTCCGCCGACGAGGATACACCTCAAGATGCCACAGCGCAAACGCCAACCAAGACCTCCGATCCACCAAAGGTCCATACACCGAGCCCAGCCTCCATTCACCAGCAACAAGAGATCATCAAGACAGCACAAGCCAGGGCACGAGCTCAGGTTAGGAAGAAGCCCAAGTCGCCCTCCATGATGTCGACTGAAGACACTCCCGCCGCATACCGAACAAGAAGCATGATCATTGTCTACTATGATAGCTATGTCCAGGGCTTCTTTGACGAACTTGTGCGATTCGTCTCATCCAGTCGTAACCTAATGCGCAAGGCCAAGATGGCTGCACGGGTCGCTCAGATCAAGAAGTTGGCTGAGCAAGACGTGTCAGAGGATGGCAACAACGATGATGCACTCCCATCACTACGTTATATGAGCAGCAGGCGATTCGGCCCCATGTCAATAGCGCGGCCAGGTGCTGGCGATCAGCCACCCGACGTATACGACAATCTCGATAAAGGCCTCGAGTTTGTACAGAGCCTGTGTGAACACGGCGCTCACCAATTCCTACGCGATGGAGATTGTAACGATGAAATCAGCAAAGTGCAAAAGCGACTCGCCGAGGTACTCGAGATGGCCAAGACAGAAATGGAGCGTGTCCAGCGCGAAGAGCCCGAACTGGCCAAGGAGACAGGCGAAATGGGCAAGATCCGGACACGACGACCCATCAGCATGCGTCGCGAAATGTCGGCTGGTCTTAAAGAAGGCAGCCCAACACCTGCCAAGGAGGAGAACAAACAAGAACCCGCAAAGTTAGAAGCTGCTGATCCCACCCCGGCACCGGATCCTATGGCGCCCATGGCGGTGGATCCAAACATCATGGAAGCCGACGAGGGCATTGATGTTGAGATGGAGATCCCCAAGCTACAATATCGATCAACCCGGGCGATGCGCAGCCGCGGTCCATAGAGTGGACGTGAGTCGTGTGCCTGGGCCATTATTCATTGAGTGTCTCAACACAACACATGTTGTCTACCTTGCTTTCAGTACCACTCATATTGTTTTTACAGCAAATATCACACATCCATATCTTGGCGTAACGGGACTGGGAAAGAAAGAAGAAAGCGTTGAGAGAAAACCAAGCTGGGATTTTATTTTGGGTTTATGTTCCACTGCCTGGAAACAAAAAGAACCATCCTTACATCTTTCGTTGTATGTCTTATCATGAAGCATTGGAATCACTTCAAAAGAAGTATGATTTATCTCTTATTTAGCTGGTTGTCAGTCATATATGTCTTGCTCACTTGGGGGCTTTGTTCTTTTCCACAAAAAAAGAAAGACTATTCATAGCGTTGGGGTTGTTGTTACATGTTCTCTATCGAAATATCATGGGTTTTCAAGAGGAATTTTGTTGATTCATCTAGTACCTGTTTCCACGTTTCCATGTCTTGTTTTATATAGCTTCTGTTTATCTTAGGTTATGGTCATGAACCACGGGAACGTTTCAAAAGAGAAGATCGCATGGACTGTGATCTCGTACAATTTGCTTTAATATAGTTATACATTCTCATGTATACTTCAATACTGTACTTTACGTCACTAAATTTGGTTAACTTGAGAGAAAGCTCCTTACGATGTATTTATGTTGTCTTTTAACTCTAGGCCGACGCTATTCAATGGTGTAGGCCCTTAATCAGTAGTGTGTGGGCCATAACTAGGTAGCAGCAGGTAGCCGACCCGCGTGCTCAGGTACACCACCTACCACCATATGACGTCCCCTGTGGCTAGTACCACTTCACTTCACTTCACTTCTACATCAACAACTGCACCATATTGCTGCTTCATAGCTAACCTGCAACATACCGAGTTAAAGCGCTATAATCTACGACACTATCCCGACAGCTCACTTTACCAACTGTCACATCCAAAATGACGACGGCTTCGTGCGCGGCTGACCGATAGCTTCCACCATTTCGTAAGGCCCCCCCGCCATGGGTCAAGGTTTCTCGCTCGCGACGCCGTCCGTCGGCTCTGCGGGCATCGACATCTCTGAACTGAGCGATGTGCAGTACGAGAAGAGTATCGGAAATGCGAGGTTCATGAAAACCATCCGTGGTCGTCACGAGAATGGTCTAGTACTCGTCAAATTGCTCGTAAAGCCATACCCAGAGGTCAAGCTAGAAAAGTACAAGAAACAGATTATCGGTGAGTCCAGGAATCCTCTAGGGGCTGGGAAATTACTGACCGTACCTAGAGCAGCACAGAGCGATAGCAGATGTCCCTAACGCACTCGGGTTCCAGCGCATCATCGAGACCGAATCCAATGGTTACCTTGTCCGCCAGTTCCTTTACAGCTCGCTTTACGACCGTCTCAGCACTCGACCGTTTCTGGAAGATATAGAGAAGAAATGGTTGGCTTTCCAGCTCCTCTGCGCTCTGCGCGATTGTCATGCGCGAGATGTCTATCACGGTGACATTAAAGCGCAGAATGTCCTCGTGACCTCCTGGAACTGGTTATATCTGTCGGACTTCTCATCCGCTTACAAGCCTGTTATGCTACCCGACGACAATCCAGCTGATTTCTCCTATTTCTTCGATACGTCAGGTCGTCGTACATGCTATATCGCCCCTGAACGTTTTTACGCTTCTGGAGAGGCACCGCCGCAGAAGGCGAAGATGACATGGGCAATGGACATCTTTAGTGCTGGTTGCGTAATCGCGCAAATGTTTCTAGAGTCGGAGATGTTCAGCCTCGCCCAGCTGTACAAGTACCGCCGTGGCGAGTACGACCCTGTCATCACACATTTGAGTGTTATTGCAGATAAGGATATCGCCGACATGATAGCACACATGATTCAGCTTGACCCGGAGAAACGATACTCGGCTGAGCAGTACCTGGATTTCTGGAAAGGCAAAGTGTTTCCGCACTACTTCTACAACTTTCTGCACCAATATATGGGACTTATAACCGACCCATCGTCAGGAAACAACCCCATGTCAGGCGCTTCGAAGAATCTTGGAGAGGCTGATGAGCGAATCGATCGCGTATTCTACGACTTTGACAAGATATCATATTTTCTTGGCTACCAGCTTGAGAAGCGAACCTCCCAAGAGTTCAAACCATCTTCCAGGCTAAGCCTTTCACATTTCCCTGTACGGCTCAATATACCAAATCACAACCATACAGTATCGTCTGCTTTAGAACCGCCTGAAGACGATGGGACATTGATATTCTTGACACTTATTGTGTCTCAACTAAGAAATACTGCGCGCGCGTCTTCCCGGATCCGCGCATGTGATGTGCTGCTTGCCTTCTCAGAAAGGCTTACTGACGAAGCCAAGTTGGACAGAGTACTGCCGTATCTGATGACGCTTCTCGTGCCATACGAGACAGACCTGGTGTTGATTGCTGCTATCCGAACAATTACTCAGCTTCTGGAGCTTGTGAAAATGGTTACCCCCATTAACTCCCATGTTCTGGTAGAATATGTGTTGCCTCGTATGGAAATAGCTCTGAGCTCTCGGTCGAGGACACCTAGCCCGCTAGTTAGAGCAGCATATGCTTCTTGTTTAGGAAGCCTTGCAACAACTGCGCAGCGTTTTCTCAATATGGCGTCGAGTCTTCGTCCTGACGGCTCAATACCTATCTCAGACCCTGAGGTCGAACCAGGCGCGGATGCCAAGGCAAATTTCGAAAGTGTTTTTGATAATGCTGGCCGGCAACTCTTTGAGGTCCTTGAAAGCCACACCAAGCAGTTAGTTGAAGACTCTGACAACTCAGTTCGAAGAGCATTCCTGGCCTCGGTTCCCGACTTGTGTTACTTTTTCGACGATCATTCGAATGACGTCCTCCTTACTCATCTTAATACTTATCTCAATGACCGAGACTGGACACTAAAATGTGCCTTCTTCGATACAATCGTGGGCATCGCGATCTTCGTTGGAAGTACAAGTTTGGAAGAGTTCATGTTGCCTTTGATGATCCAAGCTTTGGCTGACACCGAGGAGAATGTAGTACAGGCGGCACTTCACTCGCTTGCCCAGCTAGCCAAGCTGGGTTTGCTGTCGAAACCTAAGATTTGGGAGCTGGTCGACCTCATCAGCCGGTTCACCATGCACCCAAACCTTTGGATACGGGAGTCAGCAGCAGAATTTTTGTCAGAGTCGGCGCGATTTTTGGAACCTGCTGATGTGAGGTGCAATTTGATGCCTCTTGTAAAACCATTCCTGAAAATAGAGGTTTTGTCTGACTTTCAAGAGCTTACTATTCTTGATGCACTCAAGAGACCTTTAACAAGAAATGTCTTCGACCAAGCAATTACATGGGCCTCGAAGACAGAGCGCGGCGTTTATTGGAAACCACTACAACAGCTCAAGCCTCTGCTGTTTGGTTACAAGGGTTCAGCATCAAGTCGATCCTCCCGAGACTTAACGCAAAGCTCCATGGGACGAGTAGCTCGTAATGACGAAGATGAGCAGTGGTTGGCGAAGCTACGAAATCTTGGGCTAAAACACGAGGATGAGCTGAAGCTTGACGCTCTGCGAGAATTCATATGGCGCCTGAGTAAGATGAAGGCGCGTGATGCTTCCTCTGCAGACGGTAGCACATCTAACGGGGTAGTATCTCTGAAGAGCTTGGGGGTCAATCCCCAAACTGTGTTCTTTAATGATGCGCCCCTTCGTGATCCCAAGGCAGTTGTGGATCTTGAGCGACCAGAAGAACCATATACCATTGCGGATGCTCTTTTGGACGCCTCAATGACCATTGATGACTCGGCCGGTGGAAAGAGGAAGGCCAATAGTAACCGCCGGGTACAAAGTGTTGGTCCGCGCTCATCAGGTCGTTTCCTTTCACCAACTACTGCCGGCCGAACGCATTCCAGAACGGCATCTGCATCGCATGCAGGGCAAAGAGTTGATGACGGTTCCTTTCAAGAGTCATCGTCATCTAGAAGCGCAATCAGACACCAGACAAGCGCTCTGAGCTTGCTCGATCGCAAAGATAAAAACAAGTCAATCGCACAAACTGGCACTACTGATGCTAATGCATTTGGCGAAGTTGAAGGACCATTTGCCCAAGCCTCAGCCGAACAGTTGGTATCTTCTGATGGCAAAGAAGGAGATACTGCACGGCCCCGAGTCACAAAGCACAGCTATGAGGGGAACGACCCAAGCATTCAGAGGATGTTGGACAATATGTACGTGGATAATTTCCCTCGTGATGTTATTGAGTTCGGACCAATTGTTACACCTATCAAGAGAAGCAAGGCAAGCCGCGTCAGTGTTCACCCTCGAGAGGAGCCATGGAAACCTGAAGGCCAGCTTGTCGCAACATTTGCCGAACACAAGAGCGCTGTCAACAGGGTGCTGCCATCGCCCGATCATGTTTTCTTTATAACAGGCGGCGACGACGGCACTGTGAGAGTTTGGGACACAGCACGACTCGAGCGCAACATCACACATCGCTCTCGCCAAGTCCATAAGCATGGTGATAATACACGAGTCGTCGCTCTCTGCTTCGTTGAAAATTCGCATTGTTTTGTGAGTTGCGCGTCTGATGGCAATGTGCACGTGGTCAAAGTCGACACAGTCTCTGCTAGTGGTGTGGTTAGGTATGGCAAGTTGCGTGTTCTGCGCGAGTACCAGCTCCCGGATGGCGAGTTCGCTGTATGGTGTGAGCATTTCAGACAAGAATCAAACTCGACCCTCATCATTGCTACGAATCGTTCGAGGATCCTTGGCATCGATTTGAGAACCTTGGATCTCCTTTACACTCTCGAAAACCCTGTACATCATGGAACACCTACCTGCTTCTGTGTGGACCGAAAGCGGAACTGGCTCTGTGTGGGCACTTCTCACGGGGTAGTTGACCTTTGGGACTTGCGTTTTAAGATGAGGCTCAAGGGATGGGGTCTACCAGGCAAAGGGTCGATCTACAGGATTTGCATACACCCTACCAAAGGTCGTGG